TGATTCGAGTAGGTTTGGCAACTCAGGTAGAGTTGGTATTGCTTGTGATGATTCGAGCACGTTTGGTGACTCAGCTGGAGCTCGAGACAGATTGGAAAATGATTCCTACTTGATTTTGACCGCTATTCTTGTGCTCTAATTTATCTATGACTCCAAGATTTGGTTCATATATCTACTCCACGTGGCGCGGCTCTTAATAGACTCAAGGCAACAATTAGATCATTATTGTATACATTAAAAATTTGAGAGAATTGTTTAGATTTAGATTAAGAGAATCAAATTTTATAAAAACAATTTTGGTTTCTTAGTATAATAAACTCTCCACTTCTTCCACAAAAATCTTGTTTTCTTGTGTGATCCTTTATTTTCCTATTGCCTTTTATTTTCTCGTCTTTAATTATTTGTCTGGATTTTCAACATTTGGCATTTTCAAAAACTCAAAGTACAACTTTTACTTGAGTGAGGAATAAAGTTTCGTATACAACAAAAAAAAAAAAGAAAAAAAATTGAGAATTTAATTTCTGATATGTTAATTGTACTTGCATGTTGATATATGAGTGATGTGATTGCATAATAAATCTATAGATAAGAGAAGTTGAAATTTACGCAAAGTGTGGAAGAAGGAATGAAATCAAGTGGAAAAGAGAAGGAAACCAACATTTCCTCAAAGAATTGAAATATTTGAAATGCTCAACACTGAATAAAGATGAGTTAATCAATTTGCTAGTATTTTTTTTTTTTGGTTAAGAGTAATAATTGTGGGAAATATGTCATATTCATAATAAGTGGAATTAAAGTTAGAATCAACGTAAATTTTGTCATCGGCTTCATTATTATAGCTAATAATAGTTCAGGGGCCTAATTTATCGATTTTGATTAGATTAAAATAATGATTCACGTCGTTAGGCATCGTGAACGAAAATCTAATGAATTATATACAAAAGAAGAACTAGAAAAATGAGATTCACCAGTTAATTAATTAACAAGTATTGTAGAATTAATTAATTGGGTTGCTTATTAATATGCCTGAATTAATTAATTAATTAATGGGCGAAATTTAATTAATTAGATTAATTGAATATTGACCAGGTTATGTTTAAGAAACGGGCTTAGCCCACTTACACTTTTATTAATAGGCAGCTAGAGTTTGAAAATAATAAGACAATTTAATATTTTTACTAACACAAGAAAAGAACACCATATTTCTCTCAATCTTGTTTTTTGTGTGAATTTTTATTGAAGGCTAGACAATTGGATAACTGTGGATTGTAGATCAGAACTGTTCTTCAAGGTATTCATCAAAGGTATAACTTTTTATCACACTTTCTATCTAAACACGAAGCAGATTTTTGCTGGGAATTGAAATCTGATTTATTTTTCGCTGTGTATGATTACATAAATTTCCAACACAGTGTACCTTTTGAAAAGTGATTTCACAATGCAATGCGATGCACATCACTTCCTGATCATGGCATTGTGTACCATTATTCAAAAGTTACATTGAAAATTGAATGAGTCAAATTCTTGCTTACAAGCGAACTTTGAAGTTAGAGGTGTCAAGACGGACGGGCCGGCCAGACCCGTGAAAATCGGCCTGGATTGACCCGAGACCGCGGGCCGACCCGTGACCCAAGCGGGCGGTTCACGAGTCAAGGAGGTGTGACCCGTGGGCTTCGCGGGTTGCACCTTCACGGGCCGCGGTTAACCCGCTGGCCCGTGGATTTTTTTTTTTTTTTTTTTTGAAATATATAATTTTTGAACAAATATATAAAAGTAAATAATTGAAATGGGGATATACAAATATTAAAATATATAATTTTTGAACAATTAAATTATAGTTAAAACTTAAGTAGGTGCCAACTTAGTTGGAATGTACTTAAACCATAAATTATAATAAAACTAGGTGTCAACCTAGTTGGGATGTACTTATGCTATAAATATTTAATAATAGTAATTAGAAATGCATTTAATTGTTATTTAACTTTACAAAGTTATAAATAATTCATGTAACATTAAATTTGAATTCTATGTAAACATTTCTTTGTGTAAATATGAATTTATTATTTTGTTCAATTCTTAGTTTACATTTGATAAAAAAAAATATTTTTTTGCTATAAATATGAAAAATTATATATTTTTATAATTTTATTTATACAATAATACGAGTCAAATCGAAACAAACCGTGACCCGTGACCCGGATGGGTCAGCGGGTGGGCCGGGTTATAGTCCAAAATTTGTGGGCCGGCCCGGAACCCGTAGCGAATGGGCTTTTTTTCACGCGGGCCGTTACCGGGCTCATATGTTGACGGAACGACCCGACCCGGACCACCCGAATTGACACCTCTATTTGAAGTGCACATCATGAACTTGGACTGATTGGATACTTGGATAGGTTTGTAGTCATATCTTTGTCTTTGCATTAGTATGGTTCATATCTAGCTAGTGGTACTAGTGCTATATAGCATTTCTAAATAAGTTAACAATCGTATATTGAAGGTGTCATGTCTTCGTCCACATGGTCTAGACATGACTTGTCGAGAATAGTCAACCATTTTTTAGCTATCTATGCCCTCATTTTCAACTAAAGTTGAAGCCACAAAACCTGTCAAGCTCACATATCATTGAGGACCACCACCAAAATACTAGTTGAGACTAGCCACAAAACCTGCCAAGCTCACATATCATTGAGGACCACCACCAAAATACTAGTTGAGACTAAGGACCCTCAAATTCTTAGTACCACTAAACTATCTTTTAGAATACCTTCTCTTCTCAGAGGGAGGTAACGATATCAGCAAGTCTGATGGAAACTGTGAATCTTCCTGTAGAAGGGAGTCCTAAGTCATGAATGTCATCTACACAAGACTAAGAAATTATCTCCATTCGTGAAATTAGTTTTACATTGTAGTCCTAGGATAAGTAAGTCAGGCTCCCTACCAATTGCAAATTGAGGTCAAATACTCATCCCTAATCATAGGAACATGGAGAAGAGTACAAGTTGCTTTTATCCACTCCAAAAATTTGAAGATGAGGCTCTAGCCTACTAATAATAGATGTGACTTTGAGCAGCAATACAATAAGAAGAATTGACACGGTCTCAACTGACCATGTGGAAGTAGGAAAGGCCTAGAGGACCTCATCCCACACTTTTTCAAAATCTATATGGGATCATCTTAATGAATACAACAATGCTCGGTAAAAATCACCACTCACACACAATTCACATAGACTTTGCCATTTCCGTTTAAACATTTAAGTAAATCTTGTAATCCAGTTTCTACTTTTTTATGAAAAGGCAAACAAACTTATACACGTAGGCGTCTCAAACATATAATTTTTGACATCAACAAAAAGTAAAATTGATGACCTAAAATGAGTTGTGTAGGATTACTTCACACATTCAACTCTACTGGTTGATCTTAATTTGCCACCATAACTTTTAACTGTACAAGCTGACCTTTTCAATCTTATGTCAGCTCAGCGAACAACACAACTTATTATTTTAATTTTCATTACTTTGATCTTTTGCTTGAATGTAAAAACTGGCCAATCTTTTAAATGATCGTTCGAGTGATTTCTCTGAGTTGATAGAAGTAAAATAATGATTTCAAGATCTAAAGCAACTCCATTGAAGCTCAAGTAAAACGATTACTTTAACTTAATTCAAGTAAAAAGAATATTCGCTAATCATAAAATGCCTTCATTCAGGGAAGATCGATATTGAATTAAAAAGAATTATTAAACAAACATATCGTAACATGTTATCCAAATTGCATTAAGTTGTATTGGTCCATCCAAATCCTTAATCAACATTTAAAATATGGTTAGAACATCTTCAACAGACTCCCTATTTTTAAAGAGTATATTCTATCATTTGAAGATCATCTATAAATTTAGAGAGTTAAAATTTTGAAGTACTCAAACAAATTATTTATATTTAACACTTAATTCTATTACTCCCAAAAAATATTTATTATTTTTTTAATCTTTTATTTTAACTAGTTTTTCTTTAAAATTATTTTATTGTTTTTCTATATTGAAAATTGAAATATTTTAAATGCATTTAATTATAGAGAGTGAATTTGACTCTCTAAATTAAAATGTTAATTTAAAGAGTTTCTTAGATTATAATTTTAAATGTTGACTATTTAAAATAGAGAATCAAACTCACTATCTACATTAAAATATTAAGTTAAAAAGTCCCTTATAGCATAATTTTAAGAGTTGTGTTATGGGTATATAAGTGTACCCATATGAACACCCGATGCCCCATCATTGGTGAGGTGTCTGACAGCAACAGGAGCCCCACCAATGATGGGGCGTAGGTATGGGTACACTTATGTACCCATAACATTTTTCTAATTTTAAAGGTTAATTTTTTAAAATAGAGAGTATTTCATATTTAAACAGTATTTCGGAGATGATATTAGGTCACTAATCTTAAACTAACGAGTAATGACTACTATTTCAATTGTTTTAAATTTTTTAAAAAGAAAAAAGACACACACGACACGCGCATATGTTGTCTTGAGCAAGTCAATAGACGTGTACGGTTAAATGACAAAAATAACCATGATGAAATTATGATAAACAGATTACGGATGGGTAGTTTGGTAAACAACCATCAAACATTTCCTTTCATTCGAAGGTTTATAAATGGCCCCAAAACAACGTGGTAGAAGACAAGAGAAGAACGGCTTCTTTGTAATTCTTACAACTGCCACCCATTAACCAGTGAGGCTCCAACACAAACAAAACGCATAAAAATAATCTTTTTATTTTCTGGTTTTCTTTTTCTCTTACATTTCAGTCCATTCCCTTTTAAATTATCCATTTCTTAATTTTATTTATTTTTATATAATTTCAAGAATTCTTGTTTCTTGAAATTCTTAGATTGCTGTGTGTATCTCCCTTTTTTGTTTTTCTATATATATATTTTTTTGCCATCTGGGTTTTGTTTGATTTTTGTTGGGTTTGATCTTTAAATCTAGAAGGGGATATGTGGAATAAGTCAAGATTGACTGAAGGGGAATCCCCTTATTGTTCTAAGAAGACGGACGACATATTTGGGGATGCTAATGACGAGGTAATTTATTTTTCATTATCCATTGTTTTCTTGAAATTAATGCTTACACAAATTAAAATATGGGTTCATTTAAGGTTTTTATTTTTCCTAATTTTTCTTGTTTGCTGACGGTTTTGGGAATTAGGGATTCTCTGGGTTTTTCCGTGGGTTAATTTGTTGTTGAAAGATGAACAAAAAAATTAGAATTGAATTTTCAAATTTTCAATTCTGAGTTTTGGGGCTCTATTGGAGAAAAAATTGAAACTTTCTTTTCATCGAAAAAATTGAAATTTTCGGGAATGTTATCAATCTCTCTCTCTCGGTTAGCTTCAGTTTACTTCCCTGTAAATTGTTTCTTTAGCATATCTTTCTGAAGTCATGTGTTGTGATTATGTAATAATCCCTGTATTCCTCTTAGTTTTTATGGCCTGTTATAATGCTTTGAAGAATTTTATGGTAAAATTCAAGTGTTTTTCGATATGCAAAGTGTGGTTGAACTGGGGATTAGACGGTATAATCAACAGGATTTTATCTTTATTTTCTTTTTTAATATACTACTATCTAATACTTTCTAACAAGCATTCAATAGGTTTTTGATACAGTAGTTGAATGGAGCAATCTCTCATTAAAATATGGAGTGTTTGTAGGTCTTGTTGATTACATATGCTCTATGATGTTTGTAATGAATGTGATTTTTAACTTGCAGGATTCAGGTCGAACCTCAAGCATGTCAAGATTAAAGTGTATTATGCGCGGATTGGATATGAAAACCTATCTCTTCCTTTTAGTGTTGGTTCCGATTTGTGTCTGTGTTATTTATGTACATGGACAGAAGATCACATATTTCTTGCGGCCTATATGGGAGAAACCTCCCAAGCCTTTCCATGATATCCCTCACTATTATCACGAGAATGTATCAATGAAAAATCTTTGTAAACTTCACGATTGGGGTATACGGGAGTATCCAAGGCGAGTATTTGATGCAGTCTTGTTCAACAATGAAGTAGACATCCTTAAAATACGATGGAAGGAATTGGCCCCATACGTGAATGAATTTGTACTACTAGAGTCAAATTCTACTTTCACTGGACTCGCAAAGCCTTTGTTTTTTTCCGCTAATCGAGATGAATTCAAATTTGTGGAGTCACGATTGTCTTATGGGCAAGTTCCTGGCAGATTTAAGAGAGGACAAAATCCATTTATTGAGGAAGCCTATCAGAGACTGGCTTTGGATTATCTTCTCAAAAAAGCTGAAATTCAGGATGATGACTTGTTGATAATGTCGGACGTTGATGAGATACCCAGTCGACATACGATTAATCTTTTGAGATGGTGTGATGGAATACCTCCAATCCTCCATCTCCGGCTGAAAAACTATCTGTATTCTTTTGAGTTTCCTGTGGATAACAATAGCTGGAGAGCTTCTATTCACAGATATCAATCTGGGAAGACGAAGTATGCACATTATCGACAGTCTGACGACATTTTGGCTGATGCGGGATGGCATTGTAGCTTTTGCTTCCGACACATTAATGAATTCATATTCAAGATGAAAGCTTACAGCCATTTTGACAGGGTTCGATTTTCTCATTTTCTGAATCCTAAAAGAGTCCAGAGAGTTATTTGCAAGGGGGAAGATTTATTCGATATGCTGCCAGAAGAGTACACTTTCAAGGAGATCATAGGGAAAATGGGACCTATTCCCCATTCATACTCAGCCGTTCATCTCCCAGCATATCTACTGGAAAATGCTGATAAATATAAATTTCTCTTGCCTGGAAATTGCTTAAGAGATAGTGGCTGAACTATATGGACGCTTTTCCAATTCTCTTATGAAAGTTTTAGGTTTGCTTCCTGGCAAATTCGTTGACCAATTGGTGATTGCAGTGCGTCATGTAAATGGATGGCCCGCAATAATTGCATCCTTATTTTTCGCAGATGTTTTGGAAAATGGATGCATTCTCGGAACTTCAGAGGGAGTCGTGTATATAAATTTTCATAGAGCAGGAGTTTTACTGTGATGGGAACAAATTAGTTGGGCTTGGGGTCCTTGTAGTTCTTCGTATGAAACATCATATGACCACGTACAGCGCTCCTTAAAAAGGTTCTTCCCGGTTTCTGGGAATTTTTGACATGGGAATAATCTTGATTGTTTTTGTGTCATGTAATGTTCTGATTTGTACTCACTAAGGTTCTTATCTATGACGAAGCCTAGTTGAAGAAACATTGTTCTAATTTTCTCAGGAATTTTGTTCTTATAATGCATTTTGCCTGTTTTTTTTTGTTTCTTGCCTAGAATGTGCAAATACTTGTTACCAATGATAATGTAGAAGGTCAAATGAATAGAGAATCTGATGCCCTTCATTGTTTATTATGTTTGGTTACTCCTCAAGGTTGGCTTGTCTGTTATCCTTGACAACTTAATCATTCAGTACCACTTATGTGCTCATTACAATGATTACATCATACAACAACTTTTGATTGTCCCATTTTTAGATAGTTATCATAGACTCGAATGGCATATCAGATTTGCTTGTCTAGATTGGACTCGACTAGTGAAGAAAAAGATATATAATAAGATTTATCGCCGATGATGTTTAGTCCAGCATATCAAATATGTCAAAAGAATAGCAAATTTTGGTATCTTGTTAAAAGCATTTTGGGATTCGGTTGGGGTAACCCTTTGTTTGCCCCCCATTAAAATTTTTCTCTTTTTTAATTTTAACTACACTATCTAAGGCCATGTTTGGTATACATCATTTTTTTCAACCACACATTCTTCAATAAAATAATATTTTCCATCACATCAATAACTTTTCCTTCATTTTTAACCACATATTCTCCATCAATCTACTATTCAATAATACATTCTNATTATTTTTTTCATTCTCATTTTTCTACTCATTTTCAACCACACATTTTTCAATAAAATAATATTTTCCATCACATCAATAACTTTTCCTTCATTTTTAACCACACATTCTCCATCAATCTACTATTCAATAATACATTTTTTCAAAAAATTGTGTCCCAAACACACTCTAAATAAAATAATATTACACGCAAAATTAAAACTTTTTATTACTTTTCAACCACATATTTTTCCATCAATCATTATTCCATAACTAATAAATTCTTCAAAATGGGGGCCAAACAATGACTTGGTTTAGGTGTCTTGTGAGGAAGTTTCAGATTTATTCGGACAAGGTGCTCATTGGCATAAATGCCTATTTTATATATGTTGAACCTAAGTTTATTTTAACTTAAAAAGAAAGGTTTGCTTATAAAGTTGAAAGATCCTAAAAGGATCAAAGAATAATGCCATCAGTATTTTCAAATAAAAAACTGAATCGAATAAGTCACTTAAAGAGACATGTCAGGCTCACGAGACTCGAAAAATTCTTTACAAAAAGTAGCTGTTAGTGTATATTGATACAGAATATGTAAATAGACAAGATTTTAATTTTTTTTTTTTTAATATTTTCGACTGCTTGACATGTCGATCTTAACTTTAAATCATTAGTTAATATATTTTGATGGGATCAAACTGATCTGGTCTCTGAAGGAGGATTGGCACATCAGATTCTTCACAATTTGGGGGAATAACAATTCCAAGAATGAGATTCTTATTAAAGCACAATCTTGAGTAGGGATGGCAAAGGCGCGGGGCAGGGGCAACTTCCCCCGCCCCCCGTCCAGCCAAACAATTCTCCGCCACGTCCACGCTCCATTACCCGTTTAAGGCGGGGCAGGGTTGCCTCGTTTCCCATCTTGTTTAATTTTTTTTTTAAGTTTTTGATAATTTATTTTATTGTCCCCATTCATTAGATTGAGACAAATAATTTTA